GGAGGAGGAGGAGGAGGAGGAGGAAAGAAAAATTCCCTAACTAAAAAACAGCTCTGTAAAAAAAAATAAATAAATAAAAAACAAAACCCATGCATGGTATTCCAGTAACTTCCTCCATATGCCTCACACCCACCATTCAGGTGGGTACTCCAAGAATATATGTTGGGGAGCTTTCATTCTCATCCTAATAATTAAAAGTTAAGCCGAGCATAGTGACACACACCTTTGATCCCGGCACTTGGCAGAGGCCAACAGATCTCTGTGAGTTCTTGGCCAGCCTGGTCTACATAGTGAGTTCCAAAGCCCAGCTAGACTTTATCATCCCTTACCCACACTAATGTTTTGGCATTTCTTCAGGTTGGAGCAATTTATGGAAACATACACAGCAAAGAAAGCCTGCCAAGTCTTTTGGATGACCCTGAGGAAAAGACCATAAGGGAAGCCACCTCATAGAAGCCTGCCCCAGTTCCCTTATCGCCCCAGTCTTTGATGCAGGTCTGCACTCGGTTCCCAGAGCCCTTGTACAGGCTCTGCTCAGGAAAATGACATTTCCCCAAATACAGACCCCCTACTCCCAAGTTTCCCATTGTGGCAACTGCACCCCCCCCCCAGCTTTAATCCTGGATTTCATGTTGGTGTTTTCACATTCTGACAGACACCCTGGCCAGCCTCTAGGGTTATGGTGTTGGATCAAGATAAATCTTATCAAACCTTGGTAAGCCCTGGTTTCACCATGGTTTTGAGTGCCCGCCCAGAAGATGTCAGTTTAGTCTGTCTTCAGGAAGAATCTTGGAAGTGAGTATTTCGTACTGTGGGTAGGAAGGGCGGAATGATGAGGTTGGCATGCCCAGGAAAGTACAAGTCCAGCATGGATCAGGGTTTAGCTTTCTGAAGGCATGCTGGGCATGATCTTTACATGCCTGGCCTCCGATAGTCTCTGTGGATCTTTCACAGCATCCACTTTGAAGCCAGGAGAAGCAAAGGAAGGGCAGGGAGCAACCTGTGGCACCCACACTCAACCTTGCTACTTGGCGTCGTCTGCGTTCTCGCTTTTGGGTGGTGCCGCCACCGTGGAGGTCTTCTTGAGGCTGCGCTTCCGCTTCTGCACGTTCTGCTCAGGATGGAACAGGATGACGTAGGTTTTGGGCACATAGAGCATGCCGAGGGATACTGAGGCGCTCAGGCTCAGGGATACAGTCAGTGTGGTCGTTTGGATGTAAATCTAAACACGGAGGAGGGAACAAGACTGGACTTAGCCCTGATATCTCTCTCTCTCTCTCTCTCTCTCTCTCTCTCTCTCTCTCTCTCTGTCTCTATTTCCTTCTTAACACCCTTTCCCATGCCCTAAATAAACTCTATCCTACACTATACTTGTCCTACGGCTGGTACCTGCTGAGGCACCCCTCCCACCTCACCATACCATGCTCTACAAAACATATCTTTGATTTTT